ACGATTGTTCTTGTCGTTGCTATTATGTTGTTATTGTCCTAGTTAAACATTCACACTAATTCAAAAATGTTCATTCATTTTGTAGAAAAACAATTTCCGAAAAGACGTTATTATTAATAAAATATTCAAATGGAAGAAATTTTCGAATGATGAACAATTGCCGAATGATGAACAATTGCCGAATGATGAACACTGCCACATTCGACAAAGATAGTGTACTAAAAATTATAGTATTGTTGTTATCCAGATATTATAAAATTTGAAAAGATAAATCTACTTGTGTACCTCAAAAGCAATCTTAAAAAAGTCTGAATACTTGCTCCTCTTTATTTCTGTAACAATATTGATTCTACACAAAATTTCAATGGTGTTTTCAATTCTGTATTTGACGTTGTTTGAACATTAACTTTTTTTACCTTCGAGAAATTAAAAATTTTTATTTACGTGAGTTATTTACGTGAAAATATATAGAATATATATTTTGTTCAGTTTGATGAGGATAATAAAACTGTAGTTCTCAGAATTGTTTAATTTGAAATTTTAATATTTTCGGTATCGTCTGCTGAAAACAATCGTTATCGCTAGAGTGAGTTCTAGCTTTAAACAATTGTGCATTAAATTTTGCGTCATCCTCTTCGCCGTCGCATTCGCGGCGACGGCTTCCAGATCTTCGATCGTCCGTACGACAGCATCACCACATCGCTGCTGCTGCCATTGTTACGCGCTGCCTGTCTAGCTGGTGGTGGTGGTGGAGGTCCGCACTCGCCAGTCATCAGTGAGACTTCAGGCATGACGGGTCTTCTCTCGGGGAGAGGGAGTCCTCTTCTTCCCCTCCTCGTAAACCGTTAAACGTGATAACCGGTCCTCCTCCTCTTCTCGCAGCGAGGCTCTTCTCTTCACCTGTCGGTCACCGCCAGGCACCTCCTTCTCTCCTCCAACAGGTAGCGGTCCAAAATTTTGTACAATATCAAGAAACGACATTACATATGTGTACCATTATTAATAATAGTCTGTTACAGTATATTTATATTGTTAGATAATTACATTACATTCATGTATTACAAAATCATTAATCATTTTTATTCGAAAATATTTGTGGCATTTTTATATGCAATTGAATATATGTTGTTTGCTTGTTATATTTCAGTTTTTTATCAAATTGTGTCAAACTATATTATAATGATGTTTCTTACGTATACCTAAATACTGCTTCGAGAAACAAACATATTTTCAAATTTTCACCAAAATTTTGAATAAGCATTAATATATGTTTAGAATAGTATATTTCATAATATTTAAATGCTTTCATTAATTGTGTTAAGTTTTATACTTGTTATCGAAATTCATATACATTTTATACATTTCTCAGGTGTATCTCGATTTGTTCGACATAAATCTCGTTCAATGAAGATTGAAATAGGTGAAAAAGAGAATAATAAATCTTCCTTGGATTTATTTAAACAAATTGTAATTATAGTGGTGCATAGATTACTTTAATACTACAAATGAAAACCTGCAAGCTTGAACACTTGCGTCATTTCTCATTAAAATGTTTCAAATCAAGCAAAACTTTGATTTAACGATTAATAACGTTAATATTCAATGCAATGTGCCGAAATTTTTTACTACTATTCGAAAATTTATAATTGCGATTCGACTTCTCGATCGGAATTTTTTTCTTCAAAATATCAATTTCGTGCTTTTTTGAACAATAAATATGAAGTGTGTAAAATCACCTATAAAATTGAATATAATTACAGTAGATTGGCAGATGCGTAATGGAATAGAAATTTACTGCATTCACTGTCAACAAAAATGGAAATTTATAAATTGAATTATTTATATTTGCGTCCTATATGTTAACTTTTACTATTGTAAAATTGAAAATTTCAATTTTATAGCAAGGGACAATTCAAATAAGAATTTAATGAATTAAATAAGCGTATTTTGAGGCCTGACTGATCGTACAGGGGATGCGACGATTACAAAGTTATAGAATCTCATATACTAATGTTTATAGATGTGATTAGTATGAGGAACAAATGCATGGAATGTTTACCATTTCGAGAGACACTATTGGCTAGAAAATCTATACGATCTGTACGTCAGATAATATAGAATATGTTCAATCGTTAGAGTTCTCTGAGAGAACGTCGCGTTAGAATTACAGGCGCCACAATGATATCAAAATGGAAATGTCTTATGCAATTTTGCACGAAGTCAGATTTTCTGACATTTCTCATGATCGCTTGCGGCATTCGTTATGTCGCGATCACTATAAAGTGAATAAAAGAAGTAAATAGACTTATATGTATTTCTATGTACAGCTTCTGGACAACTGTAATTTTCAATGTTCATCACGTTTAATAAATTGAAGAAAGGAAATGTATATATTAATAATTATTTCTTTTATTAAAAATTATTTAAACCGTATTAATATAATGAATTCTCATTCAATAGACAAACGACGTACACGATGTTTAAGTAAATATCTAGTTCCGAACGAAGTGGGGGAGTCCTTTTTTAAATAGTTTCATTCCTTTTATATACGTACATATGAATATCTGAATAGATACTAGAACATATTATTTATCCGATATGGAAAGTAGTAAACCATGTCTGAAATAAAATTGATATGAAATTAATAGTTATATCGTTACAAAACGTATGCCATGACAACAACGTGTTTAGAAATATCTCGAGCTTTTAAAAAAATAAAGTAAAAAAAGAAATGTAATGAAGAAGAACGTACAAAAGCGGATTCTTTTTCGTTTTTTTTTTTTTTTTTTTTTTTTTTTTTTT